ATTACGCCAACTTAAGCGCTTACCACTGTAGCAAATGCAAGAATTCATTTACACGTGAAGATTACTGCAAGTATGTGTGCGGTTAAGTGTCAGATTGCACATTCTTTTTCTTTAAAATCCAGACTTGTATAAAATTTTGCCATTCAGTGTCATTTAAAGCTGTTAAATGAATACCCTCCAACCTGACCACCCTACAAATTACAAAATTTGCCAAGTTGCTGTTCGGTATATCTGTGTTTTCGAACTTGGAGTCAGCTCAACTGTAGTGAAAACTAGCAACTTTTTTGTTTCTAGCCTGTAACTTTTCCGCATGTTTTCTACCCAATAACTTCGTTTAATAATGCGTTAAATAAAAAAAAAAGCGATATTTGAAAAGAAAAATAAAAATAAAAAATTCTTTGCTTCTGAATTGCTAAAAGCAGTACATCCACCGTAGAAGTTTTCTGCTGTATATAATGCAGCAAATTTATGGTATTGCATTGGAGATTTGAGAGAATGACTGGAAATGATTCTGAGATTGAAAATTGCTTACTGCTTCTGAAGGAACCTAACGCATACTACAGTGGTGAAACCGTTTTCAGCTGCTACTAAAAGCTGTAATGAGGTCGCACAAACCTTGCATCTTCATTTGTTGAAAACTTATCACAAAAGTAATATTTTGTATAAAAACACTTAAACGTTACTGTTCTACAGAGCTACAAAAAAGGTTTTTAGTTCAGCGTCTTTGCCTTCTACCTGTTGTTATAAATCACATTGGTATTTAACAGTTTTTAATTTCTTAAATTCTCACCTTCTTAAAGTTGCAGCAAATATTACACAGTTGACTTTCGTGAAGTAATTGGATATATAGAGGAATAGAAAAAGTTTTGAAAAAGTACAGGAGAACGTCTAACTATGTTTTTAAGAAAAAAAGTAATTTGACAAAAATTTTTTGTTTTTCCAGGTTATCTTATATTATGATATTTTTATTTTGAGATGGAAGGCGCTAGGAAGCACGTTTGAGAAAGCTTTAGAAAGCTTCGACATTAAATCTCAGAGTTTTTTAGTCGACCTTATAGATTTTTTTTATTATTTCTCCTGCTTTATGAAACTTATTACCTGATTGCATAATCAGAAGAGTTTACCTGAAAAAGTGAGAAAGCTACAAAGTTAGGCTGTTTCAGTATCCAAAGAAAAATACAATTTTTACTGATTATGTTTATCTTTCGAAGCGCGTGATTTTTTTTTGCAACCGATTTCAAAAGTTTTTATTTGAAATTTTAACTTGTTTTTAATGTGCGCATATGTAGAGTCAAAATTATTGTTTTCCTGTTTCAGCTGAAATCTCATTGAAAATTTACGATGTATATAACGTATTAAAAACTGTTTCAGTTTTGCTGGACAGTGAGAGGTATTTGGTTAAACTTTTTTCGCTTTCGTATAAACAAAAAAAGAATTTTGTAATTGAAAATTATCGTAATAATTATATTCTCAATTTGCACCACTTTTCTTCACCTAACTCTCCTCACTTATGAATTGTACACCCACGTAGACTTGGGGTTTATAAATTACATAATTTAAACGCCATTTTCTGAGATTTTTGAAAAAGAAATGCGGTTTATTAATTATTTACTTTTTTAACGGAGCTGTACTACAGCATGAAAAAGAAAAGAATTTGCTAAGTCTTGTAAGATGGCAAGAAATAAGAAAATTTAAAAAGCCGATTAAAAAGTGTGTGTTCTGACGTGGAATCGCTTTGCGTTATATTTAAAACTATTTCCAACATGTTGCTGTAAATACCTGTAATGATGTCTTGGTCTTATTTCTCTATTCTTTTCTTTTTCTGTATCGTAGAGGTAACTTCTACAAGCAGCGTCGAAAAAACGTCATTCTGCAGTAACGTCAAAATCAGCTTTGAAAAATCTCAGCTTACAGGAACTCTTATATTCGTATATTACAAAAAACCTGCATTGAAAAGCGAAATTACTTTCTACGTCGCGCTTGATTTTCCAAAGCTGAAAAGCTGACGTAAAAATAAGTGCTGTGCTTTAGAGAGTTTGAGATGACCAGTAAAGTGCAAAACGGAACAAAATTTGAGGCATTACTGGAACAAACTGCAGTCAAACGAATTGCTGTTTGCATCTCTGCTTAGCAAAATGCTTCAGATTTGTCTTTGAGAACCACAGAATAATCCTTCAAAAGTCTAAAAATGCAAGCGTCTCATCAACTTACCGTTCATTCACTCTGTCTTTAAAAAAATTTCTTTACTGAGAAGCTAGAAAGAGCACCGCAGAAGGCCGAATTCCGGTCGGCAAATTTACCAGTTTCTCAGCTAAGGTTTGAGTAGTTTTCGAACTACAACGATAGGTTGCCGTTTACTGTTTGTGTCTGATAAAGCCGACAGCGTCATTTGAAGACATTTCCTGGCAGGACACCGAGTGACTTTCAGCAGTAATCTCAACGAAAATTTTGAGGAGTCAATTTTTTAGTATTAAGTTGTAAAAAAACCAGATGCTTGTGAACTTAAGTTTTCCTTTATCTTGTGCGACAGTAAAGTACTTCTTTTTGCTTGCAGTATGCTTGCTGTTATTGGAAGACCAGCAAAATTGAAGGAATTTTTTTAATCTATTTTTTTAAACATGTAGGATTTGAAGTAATCATTATCTTCTTTTATTTGACCAGTTGTAAAGCGTGTTTAGCAATGTGCAGATCAGGTGAGAACCTGTTAAAACTTTGCCTAAGAACTAGCATGTGAAAGGCAAAGTCAAAATGGCTGGCTGCTTATTTCCACTGATACTTGTGTAGAACTTATTTTACAGCCGTTAAAGTCATTTCTCTTAATTGTTTTAGAATTTTTTTTGTTTTGATTCAATGATTCTGACTTAGTGTCCTTTTCAATTTTTCAAAGTTTTCTGCAACAGGATCTGCTAATTAAACATTTTTTCCTACTGATTTCTTCAGCAACAAATGCTAATCTTTTGTTAGAAATAATTATTGAAGTTTCAGGCTGAGCTAAGCTGAATTCTGGATGTTGCAAGATTGTGACATTTAATAGTCTATATTTGAAATTTTTCAAAACAAACCTGCTCAAATTTTGGCTGCGCCGGGCTAGCATTATTGCTTCATTCTACTTCTTTCGGCCCTTGTCTTTTAGGTAATAAAAATTTGCACCACTGTCTTTATTTTCAAGGGGAAGCCTAGAGTTTTTTGCTTTAGATGCTTAATAGCAGAACGCAAGTTCTCTCAAACTTCTTATGACTTGGTATATTAAACATTGAGGTTTTTGGAGTAGAAACGTCGAAGTGAGCTCATATTCCCTTGCACAACCAAAATAATAAGAAAACTTGTTACAAGCGTGCTTATAACGGCTTGTAAGTTCCTCGCTTCACTACTTTTAAAGGTACCTGATTTTAAAACATTTTCTTTATACATTTTTATTAAAAGAACCTACTATTTTCTAAAACTATTATTACACACAACGTTGCTTCTGGTTGTTTGCCATCTAAAGAGCCTTTCTTTTCACCCTCGCAATGTGATCCAGAAAGCAGAAAATTTTGCATTAAAGGCGATTAGATGGAATCGTGTGCAGTATCAAATTGCAAATATTCTTATTAGCTAGAAATTTTGTGACCGACGCACCTTTTTTTCAAACCAACTGATCTCAAAGCATTGTGTTGTACTGAATACTGCTGTTTATTACTTGTTAGGCAGAAACAAATTACCCATCCTCTTATATACAACATAGCTTTTTCAAACGTTACGTAGTTGAAAAATACCGTTTTTTAAAATGACATTTAAAAGTTTTTAAAAGTACTTTAAGTTCAAAATACATGATATCACCGTAACAGCAGAAGATTATATTCTACTTTGCTTCGCTTTTCGACGTTTAATTCTGGACTCTGGTAGGGAAACACTACCAGTTTGATACACTTTATAAAGGAACACATTCGTGCAAAATGACTGTTTTTCTAAAAAATCTGTAGAAATGTTTTCTTAAACTTTCTTGTGTTTTTTGTTTGTTGTTTTTACTCGCAGTTCTTGAACAAAATTGAGCAGTAAAATAGAAGTTCAGTGCCGAATTTAAAAAACCAAACATAATGAATTAATGTAAAGTTGGGCTAAACTCTTACTTTAAGGAATTACGCCCATTTAGTGAAAATGTAGTAAATTTTGCAGACTTGGGAAAGCAAAACTTTGAAATTTTTTTCTTTAAGTGTTCTCTTTAGTTTTTCGAATCTGCACCTAG